GCCAATATGAACGTGTTATATGTTCAGAGATTTTTCTCCTTCCACACTAATTACACAAACTGTAGAGCAACACTTCAGTACTCTGTGCAATGAGTTAAGAAGTTCATAAAGTCTGGTAGTGGTTGTAAAACAGATTATTTCCTTTTAGTTATTCCAGTTGCATTCATTCATTAAAGTGTACAGGGATGTAATATGATGCAAAAGAAATTAAATAGCTTATGTCAGCTATCTCAAGAGAAAATTTATGCTACAACTCTAAATAAATTAGCTTTCCTTGAAATTGCCACATTTCTGTTTAACAACTTGCAGAAGCTCCTTCATACTCAGAAGACCTACACTAGGTGCCCACCACCCATTTCTGGGCTGAACTGTAGATCACTGCCCTAATATAATGGTGAGACAGAGTAGCTTTCAAAAATCAGCTGAATTTGCTTATTTAAGTTGTCTTTCCCCATTTCCATCTGCCTTTCTATCAATGTTAGGAAGAGTCTTGCATTTATATTACTATGTCCGATAGAAAACCTAATCCATATTAGTGGATCTAACCAGGTTCCTAACCTGATGAAGTTTAGCAGGACTCCAGATCATCCACAGTAAGTGGTTTTATATCCATTGCAATCACATACTTGAGCAGTATTTGGAGGAGAGCAAAAAGTTTTGCCCATCTGGACTCACCTTGCTCTTTCTCCTCTGAGGTGTTCTATTACTTGCCATCTAGTATCTGCGTCTCTTGGCCTGTGGCTCTGGCTGGGTAAAGATGGTGGAGGCTCTTTGTTTAGTTGTGTACAGGGGGTTCTGAAGGGTCTCTGGTCTCCATGCTCAGCATTTTGTTCCCACCTAAATGTATGAAGGAGGCAAAACGCATGAGTCCAGTGAAGAATTTTCAACTCCCTTAGCCTTTGGAAGTGATTGAGAATTGGCAACATGTTTATGATGAGGTAAAACCTTTCTGGACAAAAGTTACTAAACAACTTCAGGAAAGAATATTGGTATTGATACGTTATTGGAATCTACTATTAACCACAGCAGAAATCCTGTCATTTCCTTTCTATTTGAATAAGCCAAGGGTGCAGAAACCATAGTAGAGAGAGGAAAAATGAGGATGTCACAGTCAGGCATAAGTAGTACTTGAACAACAAACATCGCTACAGTCTTTTCTCTTGGTAAAAATAATTTTCTCCACATGGGAAAAGAGTTATTATAGTAAGAGCTGGAGAGGTCTGTGACCTCACTAAGGTTGGCATGCTGGGCCTGAAAAGATGCAACAGATTCATATATTCATTGCCCAGTCCTTCACTGAAGGGTTCTAAGCCCTTGTCATCTTCTCCCTGTGGCACCCTCTTTAGCATAAGCTGAGACTCCTACCTCCTTGATCACAACAGTGGTGGAATGGTAAGGTCACCAGGTTAAAGCCCCAGGCTCAAGCTGGTGCTTAACATACAGTGTCAATTTAGACTTTCTTTCTCTTTTTTGCTTCCTTAATTAGAATTTAAATATTCAAAGTGAAGTGGAATAGGTCAAACAGAAACCATTAATGACCTGAATCCAGAATAGTCTATAGCTTGTTTATTGGAGTGTTCATCTGGGGAGTGGAACAGACAACATTAAAATCTACCAGCTCTCTCATTTAGCTGCAGGACTGCAGTAAGGCTTTTCACATCCCAGATGAATTGCCCTAGCAACAATATTATTATTTAAAAGAAGGCAACGGTTTTCTTTCTGTTTTTGTTTTGGTTTTTTTAACTGGCATGACTAGCCCTCTGCTTTTAATATGCTAAACTTTAAAAAGGTATTGCACATAAAATATTTCACTTTATTGTGTGTGTGTGTTGTGCTATAGGCAGAACAAGGAATGTTACCTATAAAATAACTATGAAATAACATAAATACAGAAAAATAATGTTTTACATTTGAATGAATCTGAAAGGAGTAGAGTTTGTGGGGGTTTTTGTGTTTTTTTTTTTTTTTTGGCTTTTTTTTTTAGGGGGGGTGTTATGTTTTGTTTTTTTCTTTCAGAGTAGTAGGAGGTATAGCTTTTGAATTGTAAAATCAAGCATCCGTCCTTAACCATGGACATGCTTATTATGCCTTAAGGCAAGCTCAGCTCAAAAATACAAATGATAGTTTATCAAAGGTGCCAGGACGACAAGTTGACTCTGGACTCTGAAAGTCGCATGGCGTTCCCTTCAAAGTTTTTACCACTTGTCAAGATTTTATTAGTCCTGTAAAGGTGTCTGTGATGGAGACCAGTCTTAGGCACCTGGATCATATTGCAAGCACCCGCATCAAGAACCTCTAGCAGTATAATAGCATTTTTCTTAGCTTGACTTCTAGTTAAATTTGAGTCAATAGCTGTTCACTCCTGCTTCAGTGAATGTAACAGTGGTGATTTTATTGTATAAGCACCTGAGTTTTAAGGGGAAATCTGACTTAGTTACATGAGCAGCCAAAAGCATGCAACAGACAACCTTCTAGCTTGAGCTTTGTCTTTGCAGTGTTGTTCAGATTGATAAATTGTGGGAAGCCATTTTCTTCAAAATGAAAACACGTACCTGTGAATTTGAAAAGTAAGGTATACTAAGTAGGAAGGAACTTTTTTCACATAGCAACAGACCTAGAGGAATGATCATTTGAATGGTAATTATCTGTATAAATCTGTATCGAAATACACACGTAGAGTTTTAATTGCTTGTATTATATATGTACATATAACTGTCATTAGTATGTCCTTGGAGATATGTTGTGATACTAATCAGATTTGTCAAGATGAGACAATACCTTTCTATTCTTTCTTACACATCATAAACTCTGACTGATATCCCCAAGGGAAAAAAAATGCATAATGTGTCTTTTATGACCTGTTGCATGTACAAATTACTGGCACTTTGTATGCAGCAGGATAACAAAATGCTATTGATTTTGAATTTGACTTTAGGAAGCTGATCTTTATTGCTAGTTGTCATTTGGCAGATTTTTTCCTCCTGCTGTGAAATGTTTGATCTACAATTTATGTTTGGAGGCATGGAAGCGGTGAAGGTTTTATAATTTTTTTTTTTTTTTTTTTTAAATTGTATAAATCCTATCCTAGTAGACAGACATTATTCCTACGCAGAATAAGCATTCTATAAATAAGACTAAATTTCAAACAAGCAACAAAACCCATGTAATATGCCAATCTTGTTCTGTTTATACAACATTTCTCGGTAACACAGCAGCTTTCTGGGACCTGAAGTAAGACACCGATGAGTGTCAGGACGCTTGTGCAGAAATAAGCTTAAAAGGCAGAGCTAAGGGAAGTACACACAAATGAAATTCACTACATAAAATAAACAAAAGAAATGTAGAATAGTTCAGGATATGGATTTAACTACTTTATAGATATGACAGATTAACAGAACCTCTGATACCAAAATTATCCTTCCCAGTTCCATAAAGGTCATTTCAGTATCATTTTAGAATTTTGTTCTGACTTTCTACAGAAAAAGAAACAGACCCAATAGTCATTAACGTGAAGACTGGAAGGTTTGTTATGATATCTTCTCTTTTTTTAGGGATGAATATATGTACCTATGGATAATATCGAGGATCTAATACATTTATTTCTTTAAGAACATTAATATAGTGATTATCAAATAGAGGTTATACACATGTGATAACAAATATCTGAAAGTCTTCAACAGCCTTATACCTTAGCTCTAGTGATAGTTTCCAAATGTGTATTTGCCATTAAAACTGAAACGAAATCTGTTTATGTTTGTATACAGCAGCTCTGCTCCTTTCCTTACTCTGTCATCCTAGAAAATTATCAGCTTTATATGTTGTATCAGCTGTGAGAGAAAATAGGTGATCTCAGGGTTATCAAAGGTATAGGCAAACCAGCAATCACCTGAATTTCAGATTTCTGTGTGGGCAAGAGTCCCTGAAATCACTGGCAATAATTTAGGAGATTTGGTATCACCAACTGGAATAGGAATATATGTAACACATCTTTGAATATTTTAACAGTAGCATACAAGCGGATATTTTAAACAAACCTAAGTGGAGATACTGTGCTTTTCTACTGTTTTTGACTTTGGACTTATGAATATTTTTTCTATTGTATACTGGAGAACAAATACTAACCAAGATTGGTTAGGTTATCACTTTCTTTTGTGAAGAGTAATTTGAGAGCTTTAAAGTGTGGGTAACTTTCAGTTGCCATAGTTTTGTTTTGTGTCCAGAAAAAATATTTCTTAATACTCCAGGAAGAAGTGGATGAGGTCACTAGTTAATTGTCCATTAAACAGTTAATGTGTGTCAAGTGTTTACATAGCTAAGATACGTACTCACCTTCCTACCAACTTTCTAGTACCAAACCTATACTTTCTGGAATTAAGTCTTTTTGGCAATGTAACTTTTTTCTTCTTAGGAGATTATTTCATTAATTAAAAAATGCCACAATGAAAGATATTTAAAAATCAGGAACAAGTTTCTTTACAACTTGTAAGGATACTAGACATGTAAATCCTTTCTGTTTCTGTTAGATTAACTGTTATATATAGATTTTTATTGTCTTTGATATGTGTCCTTGACAGCAGAATTCCAGCCAAATCTCAAATTAGCTCCATTACCATCAATGGAAGTACATCTGATCACATCACCTGAGAATCTGGCCTATAACCAATAACAAGACAGTCCTTTGGGGAGTAATAATATTTTATACTTTGATCATTCACACTCCTATGCCTGTAGCTATTCATGTCAGACTCAAAAATGCCATATTATAACTAAAAAGGCTGGTCATAGATATCTCGCCATGTTTGCCCCAAAATTGACTAAAAGTGGCCTCAGCTCAGGAAAAGCTTCTTCCAGAAAGCATGAGAGCTTGTATTTAATTATACAATATTTATAATTATTTTAAATAGTTTCTGACTAGAGAGCTATTTGAAAACAACACATATTCTTGAGTTTTAGTCTCCAGGAGTTACATTCTATTTCTTCTGCTTTGACTGTTTGCCTAGGACGTATATCTACAACCACGACAATAATAGATGGTAAGAACGGATCTGTTCCCTCATCATCCATGAAAGTGAGCAAGAAATCTGTTACTGAAGACCTCGTGACAACGTTCAGTTCACCAGCAGCATGGATTCTTGTTGTTGCTCTGATCGTTACCTGGTCAGCGGTAGCTATTGTAATGTTTGACTTGGTGGATTACAAAGACTTTGCAGGTAAAATGCAGCATATTCTGTTTGACATCTTATATATTAAAATTTAAAAATTTATTAAGGAGTGTCTATTACATAAATATGCATGCTTCTCACCTTCTTGGAGAAAGCGTAGTGTCTCTGCTGAATTTGCCAGTAGAGGAGATATTGTGACAAATGTCAGAACATATTAGTTTGCACTTCAAACACCTTTATAATTTAAATCTCTCCATTTTGCAAGCCATCCTTGTCCTGAAAGATGTGTATGTTGACAGCAGTATAATACGTATATGAGCATGTATGGTCAGATTTCTGTTTTGCAATATCTATATAAAATTAGTTTAAGAAATACAAAATCAATTATTAATTCACATTTTCTGAAATATATTTTCAAGTCTTTCAGACTTGACTTGAGTGTTCTAACGTCTGCTTACGTAGTTCAGTGACAAGAAAAATGCAAAAGATAATTTTTAAACGTGCTAACTCTAAATTCATCTTTGAAAACCAATAAGCACAGAGAACGAGATTCCTAATATTAGCTAAGTCACACCCATGTCTTCAATAGGCAATAATTCTAGTCTAGTATGAGACTTGGCAAACTGACAACAATATCAAGTTTTGGGGTACAATATCAAGTTTTGGGGTACATAGTGGTTACTTAGGGCAAAGATGTAAATGAAGTCGACCGTGGTCCTGGTTGAGCAATGGGAAGAACCACAGAATCACACACTGGTGGGAGTTGTAATGGGTTTCTGGAGATCATCAAATCCAACCCCCCTGCCAAAGCAGGTTCACTTAGAGCACTTAGAGCAGATCACATCCAGATAAGTTTTTAATAACTCCAGAGAAGAAGATATCACAACTTCTCTGGGTAACCCGTTCCTCTGCTCAGTCACCTTCAAAGTAAAGTTTTTCATTGTGTTCAAATTTGTGTCCATTGCCCTAGCACTGGGCACCACTGAAAAGAGACTGGTCCCACCCTCTTGACAGCCTCCCTTTCAATATTTATAAGCATTAATACGATCCCATCTTAGCCTTCTCTTCTTCAGGCTAAACAGACCCCGGTGTCTCAGCCGTTCCTTGTAAGAGAGGTGCTCTAGTCCCTTAGTCATGTTTGTAGATCTCCATTGGACTCTGTTCAGCAGTTCCTTGTCTCTCTCAAATTGGGGAGCCCAGAACTGGACCTAGTACACCAGATGTGGCCTTACTAGGGCAGAATAGAGGGGGAGGAGAATCCCCCTCGACCTGCTAGCCACACTCTTCTTAATGTACCCCAGGACACCATTGGCCTTTTTGGCCACATGTGCACATTGCTGGCTCACGGTTAACTTGTTGATCCTCTCAGATCCTTCTTCACAGAGCTGTTTTCCAGCAGGTCAACCCACAACATGTACTGGTACATGGGTTATTCTTCCCTAGATGTAGGACCCTACAATTGCCTTTCTTGAACCTTGTCAGGTTCCTATCCGCCCAACTCTTCAGCCTGTCCAGATCTCACTGAATGGCAACACAGCCTTCTGTTGTGTTAGCCATTCTTCTGAGTTTATGCCATCAGCAAATTTGTTGAGAGTACACTCTGTTCTGCCATCCAGGTCCTTGAGGAATATGTGGAACAAGGCATGAATATGTTAAACAAGAAAGGAAAGACGAGTAGAAATTGGCTCGCTGCTACTTGGTTTTTATGCCTTGTATCTGTCAATGATATATAATGAAAAATAAAATAAAGTTCCTGTGTTTGTAGAGTGGGCATAGCGTTCAGCAAGCCACTTCTAGCAGTAGAAATTTTGTGAGGCAAGCAGGATATAGTGATCGGAAAACATATGTGCAACAGATACAAATGGTTAGTGTTCTTTTCCTTCTTAAATAAGAACTCCAGCTCTAAGGTTATCACATCTGTCACAATAATTAAGTAAGAATTGAAATTCAGACTTCGGCCTTTTAGTTCAAAACAAATTGGGTTGATGTTTTGAACTTAATTTCCTGGTCTTTATTAGTTTACTGATAAACCCATAGGTTTTTGTCCTGCTATATATCAATATTGACCTCAAGATTTACTCAAAAAGCTTTTGAGACATAGATAGATCTTGAAAAAAAAAAAAGCCAATCCAGGATCAATGTATGACACAGAAGCTTGAAATGCAGAGTAAATGTTATCACAAGCCTCTCTTAAATTTTTTTCTTCTTATCGGTCTTTGTTTTCAGAAAGAAGTCACTTGAGTCCCAGAAAGACAAAGTTACTTTTGATCCGAGCTCCCAACACAGCCATCAGATGTAAATTTGTACATCATACACTTAATGCTACAACATAGACCAAGAGAGAGAAACAACTAGATTCTATTTTTAATTTTCCACATTAACTGTCAATCAATCAGTCAAGCTGTTAATATATTTTCAATGATCAGTCAAGAACCAAGGCAGAATTAAGACTAAAACCTTAAACTAAACAATTCCTGACCTGACTATCAGCTCATGCATTGTTGATATTGTAGACAGGGTAATGTTAAGCAAGGAGATTTTGTATTCACACTGGAGACTGAAGGAAACTTTCTAAGCAGAGGGAAAAGAAGTGTTCATGTTGTATTGGTAAATGAATTTAGATCCCACAACTGTTGATGGAAACTGACATTTTCAGAACAGGCTGTGTAAATAAAATAATGCAAAGTTTAATCTGAAGGGTCAGTTTGTATTTTATGGAGATCTGTGAGAGATTATACTTTAGTATTTTGAGTTCATGAGATCATTGCTTTTCCTTCCCAAAGATATTTCTGTTCCTGTGATTAATTAAGCTAGCATTTAAATCAGACTTCAAAAGCAAAATATTAAGAGAAGGAACTGCTGTGTTCCTTCAAACCTGGACTGGTTAGACTGTTTTCTGTATTTACACAAGTATATCAATGGCTACATAACTCTTATCATGATCCTTGGGTTTCAGCTCCTGAGTTCCAAGTCAGTTTGTTTTTTCCAAGTAAAGCTCACTGATTTATAGAAATTTCATGGAAATAGCTGAATTTTTCTCATAGGACCACCTAGCTGGCGTTACTGATACTAGAATGATTTTCACTTTCTGACATTTTGACCCTTTACCTCCAGTGGAGTTAATGCTGTCTTTTCAAATAGAAAGTAGAATTTGGAGCATATTTTTAAGTGTCTCCTTAAATTTAAAGAACAGTGATATTTTTTCTTGGGTTTAACATTGTTCTTTGAACAACCAGACCTGCATAAAAGAGAGTGAATAGTTATTTTCAGGGCTTCAAGTTCAGTTTTGCAAGCATGATTAAAATTAATTTCATAGTTTTCAAATATAAATGAAAGATGCCAAAGAAATTCTATTCAACTGTATATTTTCAATCTATAAAACAGAGAATAGTGTATTTTTACTCAAATAACAGTTTCCTTTCATAAGTCAGTGCATTCAATTTCTTTCCCATTTCTTTGCCTAAAGTTCCATGAAGTTCAAGTTTAGAAAGTATGCATAGGATACGAATGAGGCAAGCTAAGTGAGCTAAACTCCACTAGTCTAGAGAAGAGCAAATTGAGAGGTCATCTAGGAGCAGCCTGCAGCTTTTTGAAGGGCAGTTACAAAGATGAAAAAGGAGTCTGACCTATGGGCTTCTACCAGAGACTTCCACTACATTTCTGTGTCAGAAATCATAGAATCATAGAATAGTTCTAGTTGGAAGAGACCTTCAAGATCATCAAGTCCAAATGTTAACCCAACACTGCTAGGTTACCACTAAACCATGTCCCTAAGCACCACATCTACACTTCTTATAAATATCTCCAGGGATGATGACTTCACTGCTTCCCTGGGCAGCCTGTTCCAGTGCTTGACAACCCTTTAACTGAAGAAATTTTTCCTAATATCCAGCCTAAACCTGGTTCAGCTTGAGGTTATGTCTTCTTCTGTCACTTGCTACATGGGAGAACAGACTGATCTCCACCTCACTACAACATTCTTTCAGGTAGTTGTAGAGAGTGACAAGGTCACACCCGAGCTTCCTTTTCTCCAGGCTTAACAACCCCAGATCCCTCAGCCACTCCTCATAAGACTTGTGCTCTAGACCATTCACCAGCTTCATTGCCCTTCTTTGGACATGCTCCAGCACCTCAATCTCTTTCTTGTAGTGAGGGGTCCGAAACTTAACACAGTATTTGGGATGCAGCCTTACCAATGCTGAGTACGGGAGGATGATTACTTCTGTAGTCCTGGTGGTTACACCGTTTCTGGTACAAACCATGATTCTGTTGATCTTCTTGCCGTCCTGGGCACACTGCTGGCTCATATTCAGTCGACTGTCGACCAGAACCCCTAGGTCATTTTCTACTGGACAGACTTCCAGTCACTGTCCCCCGAGCCTATAACACTTCATGGGATTGTTGTGAACCAAGTGCAGGACCCAATACTTAGCTGTGTTGAACCCCATACTATTGGCCTTGGCCCATCAATCCAGCCTGTCCAGATCACTCTGTGGAGCCTCCATACCTTCAAGCAGATAATGCATCCACCTAACTTGGTGTCATGTGCAAACTTGCTGTGTACTGGCTTTCTATGTAGCAGAGCCACTAGTAGTGATCGTACCGCACCGGACTGACTGCAGCAGAAAAAGAACTGGCTGACATAATAAACCAGGCCAGGAACTGGGTCCCTCGGGAATAAACATGGATTTGTTCCTCCTGATTACACTACAGAGCTGCTAACCCTTGGTCAACAAATGAGTGTAATGCCCTAAAGTAAGGGTTACCTAGATTACACAGAGATTCATGAGGCTCAGTAAAAACACAATACATCAGCAGAATAGGAAGTATTTTATTTACACTTGAACTCATGTACTTTTTTTTCTTATTTCGAAAATTAACAGGTTTGCTCTCATCTTAAGGGCAAGTAATTCCCCAAAGACATGAAATATTAGTATCTGTATCTTATTTTGTTTGTATTCTTTTAATTTATCAATATAAACTTCACAAATTCCACTGTGATTAGAGACCTAACCTATAAAATTTGCTTCTTGGTTACTCTGGTTTTA